CAGACCTGTGGGTCCCGAGTTCAGAACTCAAGCCCACGTGCTGCCCAGCAAGTCCTCACCCACTGAACTATCACCCAATCCAGGGTTTTCACTGTGAGGCAAAATCTCACTACACTGCCCAAGGTACCCTCATCTCTGTGATCCCACTTCAGTGTTCCAGGGAGGTGCGAGTTCAGGTACAGACTCCTACTTCTAGCTTCCTACCCCACCCCCACACCGGGTGCCGAAATGCGCGGATGGACCTCAGTGTCACACTTAAACTAGCAAGTGCCCTTCCTCTGAGCTGTTCTCCCAGCCTTAGGATTTGCATTTTAAGGAAGAGGGTAAAATTAAAATTTACTGAAAATATGCCAGGATCAGATTCCTTAACACAGTCAACCTTATTCATGATTGCATCATGAGAATTATCATCTGCTTACATGATCTCCTCCAGGGAGCAGTAAACTACAGAGTGTAGAAAAAATTTAAACTACTGACTGCTTTTGTAAGTAAAGAAATTGTGGGAATATAGCCAAATGCTGATTTACATAATAGCTAGGGCTGCTTTCACCTTTCAGTGGAAGAGTTGAATAGTTCCAATAGAGACTTGACAGGTAGAAAAGGCTACATTATTTACTACCTGGCCTTACAGAATGTGTACCTATTCTGGCTATTTCAAGAACCTCATCATTAAAGAGCTCAGCGATGGCCAGGCTTTCATTCCCAACACAATACTGGGTTTTGACAAAGGAAAAACTAAGCAAACTACTAAGTTTATGGGAAAACGTGAATATAATCCTATCAAGAAGTTAACACCACAATGAAAATGAATGTTTTCCTTCTAATAACCTTGTTATTGAAGCTTCTTCATAAATATTTTATGATGTTTGAACATAATAATGAAGTTGCAAATTATCTGACTTTGACTCAGATATTTACCATTTTTATAATTACAGCATTTACAGGAAAATGAAATTACTCTTGGTAGATCAGCTTTGCAGAGTCAAGAGAATTTTCATATACCAAAATACAAAACATGAAAGAATTACTTACATATCAATGAATGAAATTTCAGATCAACTACAGCAAACAACATTCCTAAGAAGAGTGCTTTTCTCAAAACTGTGTAACTTTGTAATTACTTTGTTTGTCCCTACAGTCTCTGCAAAAAAAAAAAAAAAAAACACCCCAAATTTTGATTAATTTTTTTTTTACCTTGAGATCACGGTACACAATCTTTCCAGAATGTAGATAGTCCAAAGCAGAGACAATTTCTGCACCATAGAAACGTGTGCGGTCCTCAGAGAACACCCGCTCTCTCGACAAATGGAAAAACAGCTGCAGGGTAAACAGCAGGGACAGGATTGTAATAATTACTGATTTAGTGGGGGAAATTACCACAAACATAAAACACCTCTCATCACCATATTGTGATGATAGATAGTGTACTCTCAGTGGACACCGAGCACTCTAAGACAGCAGCTGGCTTATCTTCTCCAGGCTTCCAAGGGGAGACTGCGAGCTGTTAAATCAGCGTTTTAATCAATATACCAATCTTGTTCAAGGCATTCTGCTTGGTACCCATTTAACCTTCAGGTACCAAAGGAAAAAGTAGGCACCGTCAGATTGCGTTTCCTTCTAACGATGCTGCTGTGCCACTCTGACAAGGAATAAATATTGACATTATCAAAATAAATGAACATGAGCATAGGTATGGTGCTTTTATTTAATTATTAAGTTATGTTTGATTTCAAGGAAAAATGTGGATTTTCTTAAACTCATTTATGTGAGCTACTCAGTCTAATAACTGCTATTTATCATATTTCTAGAAATACTTCCGAAGTTTGAAATAACATTCTCTATAAGAAATCTGACAACTTTAAAGTTTTACATTTATCTTAACAATGCTCAAACTGGACTGAGGCTTCCACCACTCCAGATATGGAGTAATTTGTAATGTACAATCCTTTTATTTTCAATTTTAACTGTGATCTCCTATGATCGCATAAACTATAAGTCCAATCATTTCCTAGTTAATCAAAGAAATGTCAACAGTCAATAAATATTTCCTGGGCACTTACTGTAACCACACACTAAAGCTCTAGCTTTATAACACTGTAAGCCCCACCACTCAGTGATTCACATCATACCTATCTCACTTCTCAACAGGGGACACCGAAGGTCTCAACAGGGGACACCGAAGGACAGTGTTTGTCTAACACTTGCAAGGCTCTGTGTTCCATTCCCAGCACCACAAAAAGCTAAACAAACAACACTGAGCACACCATAAATAAAAACATCTAATTTCTTAGAACAGCAGACATCAAGAAGTAGATCTGAGGAACCATGAACTGATTATCAATCTCTATTGAAATATTATACTTTATTAAGAAATCTGCCAAGACTGCTAGTCTAAAATATCTTTGCCCTGTATAAACATTAAGTACTACAGGTTTGATTTCAGTATTTGTATAATACATATTTTAACACAATTATGAGATTAAAATATGAATTGTAAGAATTGCACATGCTCACAAAATCAAATTATGCAGGTCTGATAATAAATGTATCAGTATCTAGTGTATAAATGTGAAGAAGAGTTTCTGTAGAAAATAAAGACATAATAAATGGAAGAAAAAAAAGAAATCTGCCAAGAATGAAAGATTATTTACAGTCCTGAATAAACTACCAAGATGTCATAGAGGGTATTCAATACAAATCTGTGACTAAAGAAAAATCAATCAAAAAATGGGCCTTCACCTGGAAGGTCAGAAAACAACTATTTCCATATAGATCACTAACTCATAATAAATTGCTAAGAATTATAGCTTACCAAGACTTCTTCAATATATAATAGCAATTTTGAGACAGGGTTTCTTTCTGTAGCCTTAACTGTCCTAGAACTCACTCTGTAGACCAGGCTGGCCTCTAGCTCCGAGAGATAGAGCTGCCTCAGGCTCCCATGTGCTGGGATTAAAGGGGTGCCACCACCACCACCTGGCTACACAGGTTTCTTATACATTCATTCTTTCTTCCTTTATTCTACTCCTATCTCTATTTAAATTACTTTTTAAGACAACTTTGTATGTGACTCATTGGCCCAAGTGAAGAAAGGAGAGAAAAAATAAAAAGAGTACTGATATTGCTAAAAATGACTGAAAGAACATTAGCTATATTAGGAGCAAATTATTTGGGAGATATCTAAACTATGATGTTCCCTACTTTATCCCAATGTTTTGTCAAATCTGGGATACCACAAATTCAGATTGTATTCAATTTTTATTTCTGAAGAATGGATAATCAGAAAAAATAATACCTGCCATACTGAGTCTAACATGCCAGTAGCACTGATGGATACTGTGATCACAATGTTGCTACAGTAGTCTTCTAAGAGTCTAGATTTCATTAAAAAAAAAAAAATCAATTCTACCACTGGATAACCACAGACAAAAGAGATATACAGCCTCTCTAAATTAATATAATGTATTCAGGATTCTAGGTCTTTATTTGGATGGTACAGCTACAATTTGTCTGCCAGCCAACTTCCATAAAAGTATCAGCTCAAGTTTTATAACTAAGAGGAAGAACTCTGTATTTCAAAACTCACTGCCATATGATGTCTACTTTTGTTACTTTATGGAATTCACTCTGTAAAGATAAGCAGTGATCTGAAATTGCCAAATCCAATGCTCTATGTGTAATCAGCTGCCCTTCTCGTTTTGGAGGTTAGGACACTGCCTGTGTTCTCTTCCACAAAATGTGTTTCTTGGCTTTAGTTTAACACAGCTTTCCTGATTCATGGTCTACCTTTCTAGATCACTGTTCTTAAGTTTCCACCCATGTGTTAAAACAACATTCAATCTACATTTATTTAATGATCATCAATGATTTTAAGGTAACTCTGTGAGGCAATAGGACAAGGAAAAGAGGGATACATTAACCATTAAGACATACTCTCTTACATACAGCTCCACCTGTGGTAAGGCCTCAGAATACATACTCAAATCCAAACTTATTAACTACATGTCGCTTTCTATACAATAATCAAACTTCAACAAAATGACAAAAAATAGACATAATCCCCACTATTAAGGAATTCTAGCTCAATAAGGGAGATGTATGCATATTTACAAAAACAGCAGGCTATAACACATTTTTGTGATGTGGATAATAACACTTTGGAAACAGAGTGATTAATTTATATAGGATGATCTGAGATATGTCACATTTAAAGTTCACTTAAGTTTTGAAAGATGGAATTTCACCAAAGGAAAACATAAGGGAAATAAAATATTACTACTTGAAATGTGTCCACCTGTGTACTTCCATTTAACCCAGCATAGCAGCTACACAAAAGTAGGTGAAGAATAATCATTTGTAGAATGCAGCAATTTTTGGTGGTGTATATTCACCATATAGAATAATGGTTTTCATTGTGATTTTTCATACTTATATATGCTTTGATCATTTCTACTCCCTATCATCATCTCTCTTCCTTTCATTCCTGGATCCCCTTGTTATTCTCCAATCTCTCTTTACAAAACCCACAAGTTCCCAATAAAATAAAAAATATTATCAGAGAACATGTGGCAAGAATAATACACATTTATAAAAATGAAAAAGGAGAGAGAGAGAGATTGCCAGCTTAATTAGGACTTTATCTACCATGGTATGAGTCAGAATTCTATTATATAGATAAGGAATGTCAAACGATCGTACACATAAAAGACTATAATCTTAAAAATACTATTATATTAATAAGTAAATAAAAGGATCTGAGGTTATACTCAGGTAAATAATTTCTGAAATTGCACAAAAGTTACTCATCACCTATTTAGTACTAATTGCTATAAAAACCTGAAGACATTAAAGGAAATAGCACTAACCCACAGGACACGAGAATTTGCTGAAACATGGCAAATACTATAAAAGGCTTTGGAAGAATAAGTATGTTTGGGAACGCCAGAAGTTATGTTGGATCTTGACGAGTGCTTCTGAGGGCCATCGGCTAAGGAGACCATAAGCACCCTTCAGAAGAATCAGTACTCCAGAGGAATTTGGACCAAGGGAGAGATCAATGATGTTGAGGTTTTCTTGTGGCTGGCTGAGTAGATGTTGCTGAAAACAATATAGAGGAAAAGAATTGGTGATGGGGACACAGGAGCAATGGGCTCTATTTTGACCTACTGAAATCTAAATATGCAACTGATGTTATATTCCAATTTTAGAATTATGGATACCAAGGAAATTGGTAAAACCAAGGAACTAAGTACCATCCCCAAACTCAGAAAAACCAGACCCTCAGGGTATTACTACACTTAAGTCAGGGACAAGCAGCAAAACAGGAGGATACTGGTAAGGAGTGCAAAAGGAGGCACAAACAAACCAAGAACCCAAAGTAAGGAAGGAAACAGCATCAAGAAAAAAAGTAAGGCACAGTGGCATGTGACTGTAATCCTAGAATAGTGGGGAAGCAGAAACAGAAGCATCCTTGTAGATACCAGGCTGGCCAGCCTAGCCTAATTGGGGTTCGCTAGGTTGTAAATGAGACACTTTCCCAACAAGTAAATGACTCCAGAAGAACACTACCCAAGTGTGAGTGCAGCTAAGGAGCAAAGGATAACCTGGGATGTCTATGAATCTGAGATAAGATCTGTCCCTGGCCAAGACCTTGCCAAGTAGGCTAGGCTGGCTGGCCAATGGGTCCCCAAGGATCCTTCTATTTCCACATTCCCAATGCCGAGATTACAAATGCACGGCATCATGCCCAGCATTTTCTCCTTGGGTTCTGGGAGTCAGACTTGGGTCCTTGTGCTTGTGAGACAGTCACTTTCCCAACTGAGCTTTCTCCCCAGCCCCATTTGTCATTTCTTTACATTTAAAACATTCAAAACTATTCTTATAGCTATTGTGAAATACAAAATAAATCAGCTGAGTGTAGTCACTTTACTGAGCTATAGAGCCCTGGAACTATTCCTATCTGCTTTTGTATCTAATTACCAACTCTTTTCTTTTTCTCCTCTCCCAGCCCCAGTCTACTGTTACTAGACTAGTACTTTAAAGTATTTTAACTAGCATTTCTGGTCTCTAATTCCATGAGATCCACATTGCCAGCTTCGACATAAGCTACAGGTGGGGAATGGGGAGGCCTGGCTTAGTTCATGTAATGCACAATCTTCCAGTTCCATTCACATTTTCCCCTCTTTATATTAGATGATATTTTAATCTAAGAAAATTTCTAATCTTTTCTTGCTGTTCACTAATTCTTTAAAAGTTGCCAAGAGCTGGAAAAGGTTCCTCAGCACTTCACAGCACTTACTGCTGTGGTTTTGTTTCCAGCACCCACATAATGGCTAACAATTATCTGTAACTCCTCTTCTGGCCTCCATGGGCACTCATGTACATGGTGTACACGTACACACACACACACACACACACACACACACACACACCCCTCTCTATAGGTAATACCCTCATACTCAAAGTAAAGAAATACATCTCTAAAGGTCTCGCCCTCCTGTGTCTGGACCAGGATCTATGCGGTAAGATGCAGTTCTTGCTACATGCTCAGAGGTGGGAGGAGCCTGAAGGGCTCACATCATAAACGACAAGGGACAAACAGCTGCTATGCCACTGCTTCAGAGCAAGGCTCATGAACCACCTCAGGGATTAGATGCATAGCACAAAGAAATGTCATATCAAACTTTGATAATAAGAAACAGTATCTTTACATTTATGTTCCATGTCTATATCACTAACCTTTGTGAAACAATACTAAAAAAAGATACTAAGAGTAACTACTTTTTAATTTTTTGCTTTGAATTTTCTAATGAAAATGACTGAGATTATTATGAGTACAACAGGTAAGTATTATCTGGAAGATGATTTTTAACACTAGCATTAAAAATTTTTAAAGCACTAGTTCACTCAATTAGCATAAACCACCTTTCTTTTCTTGTTCTTGGGGATGTAGTTGAGGTTTCTAATCTTTTTATCATATGTTAATACCCGGCTTTCTCAAATTACTGTTTTCCCACTGTTGTTGACATTATCTCCTCTACATGATTATAATAGAACTACAAACCCAAGGGAAGACAACTCACTAAGAAAACACCTATAGGGATGGATTTAGGAAGAAGGAGAAGGGGGAAGATCTGGGAGGAGTTGGGAGACAGAAAACCATAATAAAAATATATTCTGAAAAAAATCTATTTTCAATAAAAATAAAACACCTAAAATTTGTTGAATACCTCAAAGACATACCCACACTAACACATACAGAAATTCAAACCTAGATACTCAAGAAATATGAAAAGTCAAGACAATATAAAGCCTTTCAAAGCTTAAAACTGAACTATGAGATACTGAAGTAGAAATGCTGGCTATGTAAAGAATACTTTAACAAGAAGATAAATAAAATAAAAACATTAATGCCAGACCTATATAATAGTCAAGTCAGCAACACAGATGAGAATCTCTGCAAGGAAACTGAGACTTGGGGGATGAAGGGGCATAGAAATACTAGAAATAAAAAACCCAATAAAATATTTAAACCCTCAGCACTGGACCCTGCATTCTAAAATACAGACCTGCCAGGCAAGTTGTGCCCACTGGAATAACAATGTAAGATTGATGTGGGTATAAATAACCACTCTTTTGATGGATCTGAGTACTGTTTCACAAGAGGGAGTTCATGCCTGGTACTGTAAGCATGGTTAAAACCTATAGCTAGAGAAGGCATATGCTCTACGAGAGAATCTATTGGTGCTGTTTTTCTAAATGGTCATATTGTCAAATTGCCTTCTACATACTAATTTATACCCACATATTTTGCTACTCCAGACCTTCTGTAAAGTTTAATACAGATGCACTATTATTCAAAATGCTAAGAATAAGCTACTTTAATGAGTGCTCAGCCATAGATGGGACATTGATATCAATACCTCCCACACCAAGGCTCAAAGAAAATTAAAGAAAAAGGTGTGAAAGGAATGTAACAGAGTGACATGCTGTCCTCTGCACATGGACCCATGAACTCACAGTAGCTATGGTTACCTGCACAAGGCCAGTATAAGACCAAGCCAGTTAAAACTGCCCCATTTCAAATGAGGACCTACTGGCAGATGAAGGCTGCTGGGAGAGAGAATAATTTCTCTTTAGAAGGCAGGAACTAGTTGTTGTTCTTGTTCCACATTCATGAGTACACTGGTAGCACTAGTTAAACTCAGTCCATTATTTCATTTTTTAAAGGCATGAATTTGTGGAGAACAGCCATGGAAGCTTGGTGGTTCCCATGGAAGAGGGATGGGGTGGAGAATATAATCAAATTATACACATGTGTGAAATTTTCAACGAACACATTTTAAAAACCACAGTGAACAGTAACTTCAAATAGGCTAGATCAAGCAGAATAGAGACTATCAGGGAGTAAAGAGAAGATTGAGGAAATATGACATTAAATATCACTAAATAAAAAAAAAAGAAAAACAAGTATGACCACAACTTTCAAAAGTGCTAAGACATACTCCAAGGATTAACCTCAGAATTGAAGGGGTAAGAGAAGAAGCTATGCTATAAAATACAGTCACCAAAGTCCACTCAATGAAATAGGAGAAGATTTCCAAATCACAGGAAGATACGGGTATTAAAGCATTTAAAACTGCAAGCAGGTATATCTAGAAAATAACTTCTCCCTGTCACATTAACGTCATGCTATAAAAAGAGTACAACTGGGGGCTGGAGAGATGGCTCAGAGGTTAAGAGCACTGACTGCTCTTTCAGAGGCCCTGAGTTCAATTCCCAGCACCCACATGGTGACTCACAACCACTTATAATGGGATCTGGTGCCCTCTTCTGACATGCAGGCAAACATGCCAACAGAACATTGTGTAAATAATAAATAAACCTTAAAAAAAAGAGTACAACTATTGTTCTTTTTCATCTCATGTTTAGGCAGTCCTGTTGCTGCAATTCTATGGGGTTAGCTGCAGACATTTCTAGGAGACAGAATCTCACAGCAAACTCCTTGGTCCTCGTGACTCTTATAGTCTTTGTACCCCCCTTTTACAATGCTTCCTGAGCCTTAGGTAAAGAAGTTGTTTTGCAGATCCATTGGGATTGGGCTCCAGAACTGCATTTTGACTGGTTGTGGTTTTTGTAATGGTCTGTCTTGCAAACAGAAGTTTCCTTGATGCAGGTGAGGACTACATTTATCTGTGTGTATTAGAATATAGTTAGAAATAGTGCTGGTTTAGTAAAATGGCGGTTTGAAGTTCTCCTCCAAGATTCATGCCTTCACTAGCCCTGGGTATTGGCTAGTTTTCAGTGCCAGGTATGATTCCCCTCTTGTTGGGAATATCTTAAGTCTAACTAGAGAGCTGTTAGTTACTACGAGGAATGCATGCCATTACTGAACCCTTAGAGTTATCCTGCAACAATAAACATGCTAAGATGAATGGGACAAGCCCAGGAGATCGCAAGCCTACACAAAGAACTATGGGCAACTAAGGAAGGCTGAGAGCAACTGAAATAGTCACCCCTGGGTTAGAATAAAGTTGATTACCCAATAACAAATGGTCAGCCCTGTAAACATATATACAAGTAACATTATACAGACTGAAGCAGGTTGTACTTAAATATTTAGGAGTGTGTGTATGTGTGTGTGTGTGTGCGCGCGCACATGCATGTGTGTGTGCATGTGTAAAACAACAATTAATACAAATAAAGAGGAAAAAAATAAAGAGTCCATGAATTTGTACAAGAGCAAGGAGGGGTATCTGAGAAGGCTTAGAGGAAGGAAATGGAAAGGGAAATGAGGTAATTATAGTCTAATCTCAAAAGGTAAAATCAACATTTTAAAAAGACCATGGCTACCAAACAAAGAAACAATATTAAAAGCTGCAAGAGAAAATCCCAACTGAACTCTAAGTAATAACATCTAGGAGAAACCCGAGAAGTCCAGAAAGCATGAAAACACACCATTTCAAGCTGTGGCAGGTAACTACTAGATAGTTGTGTTTGCTTGCTTGCTTTATCATCTTGATACAAGTTAGGGTCATCTGAGAAGAGGGAAACTCATAAACTGAGAAAATGCCTCCATTAAATTGGCCTTTAGGTAGAAAATGAGGAGGAAGGCATTTTCTTGTTTAATGGTTGATGTGGGAGGGCCTAGACACACCTGAGCAGGTGGTCTTGAGTTGTATAAGAAAATAGGCTGAGCATGCTATGGAAAGCAAGCCAGTAAGCACCATGGGTTTTGCTTCAGTTCCTGCCTCTAGGTTCCTGCCTTTAGTTCATGCTTTAAATTCCCTCAACAATGGACTGTAACTTTTAAGTTGAAATAAACTTTTCCTGTTTAAGTTGCTTTGGGTCATGGAGTTTATCACAGCAATAGAAAACGAACTACTACAACTACCAATGAAAAATAATAAGTAAAGTCTTATTTTAATTGATGAAAAATAGAGATATCCCAAGAAAAGTACAAACTAAAGTAACAACTGGTAAGCCAGCATTTTAAAAGATACTTAAGAGAAATCCTACACAGAGAGAAGGAAGAAGAACAATAACAAATACACACATTTTAAAATATGGCAAATATCTCTCAATAAATATGTTAAATGTTACTGGTCTAAAATGTCCAATTAAAAGAGGCAGACAAGTAGGCTGGATTATAAAGCAAGACCCAACTACTGGACATCTTCAAGAAACACATTTCACTACAAAAAAAAACAGAGACCAAAAGTGAATGAATGTAAAAAAGGAAAAGAAAACAACAACAAAAACTACGACAAATTAGTTGAAAAGGGGAGCAAGCAGGAGTAGCTATACCTCTGAGACTGTAGATTCAGGTCTAATTAGTCATTAGAGATAAAGAAGGTTACTGCACACTAATAAAGGGAGAACCCATCACCATGATCAACTTCCCAAAGCAAACAGTATTGGGTATTAAAGCTAGGTCCTGATATTGAAATAGTAAGGAATGCAAACATCCTACTTTCATACCCCACCTCACATCCCCAAAAGCAAGAAATTTCAAGACTTAAAAGGCATCGTCTATAGGATATTCCATTAAATCCTGTGAAACACATGTTTTTGGCAACCTATGAAACATTCTTTAAAAAAGGTAACATTTTATAACAAAAAGCAAGTCTAAACAAATAAAAAATGAAACATTGTGTCCAATCAGATAATAAAGGAATAAAATGAGAAGTGTTTAGCAGAAGATACCACAGACACTACACAAACTGAAGAAGATCACACAGTATACTCTTCTGTGATCTGTGGGTCACTAAAGAGGGTAGGGAGAAAATTTAAAAATTCATAAAATCAAAAGAAAAGAGAAACCGAACATACCAAAGACTTTAAAATACAGAGAGCTCATGAAAACTTAATGATACACCTTTAACTCTCAGGGAAAAGGAACACACTCAATCCAAAAGTATTAAATACAAAAAAAAATGATAGAGATCAGGACAAAAATTAATGAAATGTAATCTAAAAGGATAATATAAACAACCAATAAAACAAAAAATAAATAGTTTGGAACCCCTTCAGACAAACTAATCAAGAGAGATGACTCAAAATAATAAAATTTGAGACAATAAAAGTATATTATAATAGATGCTAATAAATTTCAGGATGCTGAAAATGTACCTTCCAACAAAATGAAAAAAATCAGATAAGATTTTCAATGTATTACCTACTATAATTAAAGCAATTAGACAGAAACAGCTCAATCAAATCTATAACAAGGAATAAAATTAAAATACGGATAAAGTCCCCCAACAAAAAAGCCTGAGTCCAAAAAAAAAAAAAAAAAAATCACTGCCAAATTTTATCACATTTTCCAAAAAGAACAGTAATATTCTCAAATGGCTCCAAAAATTAGAAAAAGAATGGTATCAAAATCAACCTACTAAACCAGCATTACTTTCATATAAAATTCAAATAAGGAGGCAAAAAAAGTTAATCTGCTACTTCCCCTAAAGAATACAGATGAAAAATATTCAATAAAATATTTACAAACAGAATTTAATAACACACTGAAGAGATCCTACATTATGAAGTAGATTTCATTCCAGGTATGCAAAGATAGTTCAACATATGCAAATCAATAAATGAAATATGATTCATAGATAGGTCAAGGTATGCAAATAATATAAATATGACATAAAAATTGAAATCCCACAATCATATCAATAGATGCAGAAAAATCTTTGACAAACCTCATATCCCTTTATGATGAGAATCCTGGAAAAACTAGGAATAAAGTACAATACCACCACATAAGAAAGGCAATTTACAAAACTGTATCCAACTGTACATTAAATGGGGAAAAACTGAAAAAAAATTCCTTTAAAATTAGGAACAAGACAAGAGTACCTACTCTGTCTGCTCATGTTTACTATAGTCATCAAATTCTTAAGCAGAGCATTAAGACAGTACAAATAAAAGAGAGATAAATAGGAAAGAATTCAATTTATCTGTTTCTAGACTGTACGATGCTATACTTAAAATGACTATAAAAACTCAAAATACTCTTAAATCTGATAAATGCTTTTTGAGCAGGATCCAAATCAATAAACAAAGATCAGCAGCTTTCCGATATGTCAGTTAACAAAAATGCTGACCAGAGAAATAATGTCATTCATAAAAGCATAAACAACAAGAACATTTACATAGGAAGAATCTAGCCAGGAATTAAACACCTCTACAGTGAAAACTTCGAAACTTAATAAATTAATGAAAGCAATGGAAGAAGGAAAGTTCTTCCATGTTTGTGAATCAACATAATTATTACTTTAAATGGCTACATTACCCAAAGTACTCTATGTACTGAATGTATTTTCTACCAAAATTCCAGTACTGTTGTTCACAGACCTACAAAAAGAATTCTAACACCCACATGGAAGCACAAATGACTTCTGTAGCCAATGCAAAGGATAGCCAAAGCAATCCTAAGAAAACAGAGCAAGTATTATAATGCAAGAGTTTAGATTTTTATCACAAAGCCATAGTATTAAAGCTAGCAAGGCCCTAACACACACACACACACACACACACACACACAAAAAAAAAAAAAAAAAAAAAAAAAAACAGACACACAGACCAATGGAATGAAATAGAAAAAGCAGAAAGGAACCCATGAAACTGCTGTTATCTGATTTTCAACAAAAATGCCCAAAATATACAAGATGGGTAAGAGATGGCCTCTTTAATAAGTGGTACTGGAGGGGCTAGAGAGATGGCTCAGCAGTTAAGGTACACTTAATATTCTTGCAGAGGACTGAGGTTCAGTTCCTAGCACATACATAGTAGATCATAACCATCTGTAACGACAGTTCCACAGAATCTGATACCCTCTTCTAGTCATCATGGGCACCAAGCATGCAAGCAGTACACACACATAAATGCAAGCAAAACACTCACACACATAAAGTAAAATAATAAATATTTACAGAATGGTAGCAGAAAAAATTGGATATATGTAAATGCAGAAGACGGAAACTGTATCTTTATCTTTCACCTTTAAAAAATTCAATCAATTATGAATTCAAAGTCCTGAAACTCTAGAACCACTAACAGAAAACTGCAAGATATAGGCACAGGCAATAACTGTGTGAATACAACTCAAATAGCTCCAAATGTAATAGCAGGAATTGACAAATTAGTTACCTGAAATTAAACAGCTTATGCACATCAAAGGAAACAATTACCAAAGTGAATAGACAGCCTGTAGAATTGGGAGAAAATCATTGTTAACTATTCATGTAACAGAGATTAATTATCTGAATTTATGAAGAACTCAAAATACTAAGTAGCAAAGGGGGAAATAATCCAATTAGGAAATGGACAAATGAACTGAAAAGACATAGCTAATAACTACATGGCAACATGCTGCACTTTTTTAACCAAACAGGAAATGTATACACAAACTGCATAGATTCCTCTTGATTCCAGTAAGAATAGTCATCAACAAGGGAGCAAACAGGATGCAGGGGAAAGGAAAGGATCACTGTTGGTGGAATGTAGATCAGACCAGCCACCGTGGGACAGAAGTTTTTCACACACACACAAAAAACTAAAAGCAGAATTACCAAGTGACCCTGTTAATCTACTATGGAGTATACAGCAAACGGAGTCTAAGCCAAACCACCATAGAGATAATTTATACATCCATACTTATTGCTGAATGATTCATAGTGTCTAAAATATAAAATAAGCCTAGATGCTCATCGACAGATGAATAAAAATGCTGCATACATACATAATGTAATATTATTCAGCCAACAAGAAAGAACTGGAGATTTTCTAATATTGTATGTTTTCTCTCAACATTTAAAAGACACAAACCTAGAAGGCTATGATTTGAGGAGAAATACCAGTGCAGAAAGGAGGTACAAAAGGGTGAGTGGTGAGAGGAGGCAACACAACTATCCATTTATACATGAAAACGTCGTAACACTTGCAAAGACGATCAATAGGTAAAGTCAACAGGAGTCCAACATGGTGACCTGACTTCACTCTTCGAGATCCACAAGGTGGAACATACTCACAAAAGTTGTACCTCTGAGTCTACATACGTGCTGTGTGTGCACACAAAATAAATTAAAATGTAGTAAAAATTACAAAGAAAATGTCACAATGAAATTCATTATTTTTTAAAATACACATGACTAAAAACCAATGAAAACTTAAAAGACTTGTTCTGTAATGTTCACGGCAGCTCGTTACCTAATAACTCCAAACTGCAAAGAACTCTGACGTCTGTCTTATGACTATAGACAAACACTGAGAAATATAACTGCAATGTAGGAACCCCATAAATTGAAACAAACTACTGGTATATACTATAATCATCTTAAAGGATTTTTAAAGGATTTTGGTAGGTTAAAGATACAGAATACAAAAGATTATGTACTGTGTTTTAGGACACAGTTTTAAATATTTAAGTATTACTTCTGTCATTTTCCTGCTTGCCTTCCTCAGGGGTAGGGGGTGTGTGTGTGTGTGTGTGTGTGTGTGTGTGTGTGTGTGTGTGTGTGTGTGTGTGTGTGTGTGTGTGTGTGTTTCTTATTTGCAATTCCTTAAAAGGGCCACTATGGGGTAAGCAACCTTTAAGTCTAGTTACTATCAAATTGCATTCAGTACCAGTCTCCATGCACAGAAATCAAGAAAACTGAGAGCTGCCTGGACACTGCTTATAGTTCTAGGCAGTTCAACATCTTAATGAGACTTACCAAGTCTTCTCCTGTTGTAGTCCTATGATTGTTTAATGATGTTAGGAAACTGGCCCTGAAATACTATAAAATTATATCATAAAATGGCATATAAAATAAAGCTCATTTTGCCTTGAACTTTAGATGTTAATGTGAATATTGTAATGTAGCTTTCTTGGCTAGAGAATTTTTAAAAGATTTGGGTGATAGCAACAGAATTGTGACATAACCTACATAAAGCTTAATAACTCAGATTCCTAGTAATAAAGATATTCATATAACCACAAATTTAGTAAAAAAAAAAATCAAGTTTTAAAAGCATAACCATGAATCTGAAATACTTTTAACTTAAAAATCACCCAAATCACACCTCCACAAATTAGTAAGTAGAATTCAAATGCTGACTGCCGGCACTTCTGTCTTCTGTGAATTTAAAATGAGATGATTTCGGTTCACAGAAGAGAAAATGCCAGCCAAATAATGAAAAATCTGAATAAGTAAGAGAAGATTTCAAGAATGACATGTAACTGAAAGTCATCTGTAAAAACTAAAATGAATTTTATCAAAGACATTAATACAGTGCTAACAAGCATGAATAGTAAATGAAAATGGTAGGTTCATTAGTACCTACAGAAAGAATGTAACAGAACAGTAAGAATTTATCAGATGTATAATAGGTCCACATGATTTACCATGCCTAGAATCTCTAGCTCCCATGAAATTTGAGCCTGTGAGAGAGCACAGAATTCCAATTTATAGGCTTTAAAATATATAAAGCTGATGTGACAGTTTGCAAAAAGGTCTAAGTGGAGACTTCTTCAACCAAATTTAACATTACCTTAGTTTTAGAAATTACAATTTATCTTGGGGATATTTTTCTATCACATTTAAATTGATTAGCAGCTAAATTACTGAGTGGCTTTAGCATATTAGTAGCAATGTGATATCTCACATCATTAGACTTTAAAAATCAATTCTACAGATGCTGATATGTGGCCTGCATGTACTCAATGCTGCTCTGAGTTCTGCCCATAGATTACCATTTCCTCTCTAGCACTCTCTTCCCTAGTCATCCATCCATTTTCTTATTTTAATTATTAAATACACAGTATCTGTAATATGAGAACAATAGAAGAATACATGAGTAAAACTCAAGCTTTCCTTCCACCCTGTACTCAATCACAAGGCCAATTCTAAATTCTAGTGGCTAATGAGATATTCACACATACACAGGGCATGTACACATGAACATGATCTATGTTTCTCTCAGCATAATACTAGCATGCTTTGTACTCTCTCATCTTGCGATACTTTACATACTTCAGCATTCTCACTGGATGTTCATTTAAGATACCACACTTGTACAATAAATGTGTTTACTCATGTACCATTTGGTCATAGATCTTTACTTCTTGGGATTGTAATTATTGGAAATAGAATTGCTAAGTGCTTTAGTTACTTTTCCTGCTGCTGGGATAAAATACCCTGACAAAAAGCAACAAAAGGGAGACAGGGTTTATTTTGGCTTACAATTCAAGGTTATAATCCATCATGGTGGGGAAGTTACAGGAGCCTGGCTCACTAGAGTCACACTAAAACATAACTAACTATGCATTTATGGTTCCACAATCTAGTATCATAATTTCAAAACTCATACTGTTGGGGCTGGAGAAGTGTTTCAATGGTTAACAGAATTTGTTTTTGCAGAGAACCCAGGTTCTATTTCCAGCACCCACATGCTGGCTCAAAACCATTTGTAACTCCAGTTCCAGAAGATCTGATGCCCTCTTCTGACCTCTGTGGGCACCAAGCACAAACATGCTGCACAGGCATACACGCAAGCCAAACACTCACACAAAGGATAAATCTAAAAATCAACCATCAACAGAGGGAATTATGTCCTTTAAAAAATACAGTAAAATAAAGAATATGATAATGCTTTCCAATGATCCAAACACCCACTAGAAACTCTCCAGCTTTTGCTTACTCAACAGGAGAACTACACACTCAACAGGTTGAGAACCACCATAACTCAGACTGCTTGCCAAGCTTTCATGAAAGAGTCCATGAACACGCTAGAGTGACTTCTTGACTCACCTCTCCCCCATTGACATACTCCATCACAAAACACAGACGGTCTTTTGTCTGGAAGGAGTATTTCAAGGACTTGAAATGAAAAAGAAGAAATGTTAATTATAATCCTGTATTCTTAAAAGTATAATGGTACCAAAAATAGAATATTTTAAAACAGTCAGCATAACTGACTGACATTGTTCCTTAAGAGTGTATTTACTTCAGAAGAGTGTTTTCTAAGAATCTGTTAAGTAAAAATAAATTATCAATGTTAATAAGCACTTTCAACCTACTGTGCCACCTGAGACTGAGTTAGTACTCATTACTCTAGTTCTCTCTGCAGTCTCCAGGAGGAACTCTAGTTCTTGAGGAACACAGTTGCTTTTATTCATTATTGTCAATGTAGTTTTGCTTTTACTTTGTATAGACTCAGGATAAAATCCAGCCCAACTCAATAAGGTCAGGACTGGTAACTTTGTAAGTCATAAGAAGACACTAAAATGTTTTTACATTGGATAATAGACATGAAACTTTTTAGTAAAGACCAGTATCTATTGATAACTCTGAAAATGTTTACTTTAGATAGCCTTAAAATGTTAATAAAAAGTTTCAATTTTAAACTGTAGCTGTTATTTTTAATCTTAATATGCTTGGTACAATATGGAACACAGAGAAACTTTATACTGCATGGTTTAAACTTTTTCTAATGAAGAAAATACAGCAGGACTCATCCTGTATTTAACACATTCCACATCCCTGTATTTCTTTTTCTTTTTCTTTTTTTTTATGGTTTTTTGAGACAGGGTTTCTCTGTGTAGCTTTGTGCCTTTCCTAGAACTCGCTCTGTAGACCAGGCTGGCCTCGAACTCACAGAGATCCGCCTGCCTCTGCCTCCTGAGTGCTGGGATTAAAGGTGTGCACCACCAACGCTTGGCACATTCCTGTATTTCTGTCATGAAATTTATCTTATTCCTGTGAAGTGTGTTCATTTAAAATTTTGATGAAGACCATGCTGTATAGTCATTTTAATATTTATCTGAAGCCAGCAAACAAACAAAAAAAGTAAACTTCATTTAATTTTTGTTTTTTTCTTTTGAGACAGGTCTGACAGTAACCCAGGCAGCCCTAGAATTTACTAGGAAGCCCAGGCTGGCCTCAAACATGGGGAGAGCCTCCTGTTACAGACTCCACAGTATTGGTACTGTAGTCAAGAGCCATCATGCCTGGATTGGGCTACTGTTAAAAACTAAAACCAAAAATAGGCTTTAAAAGTCTAGCGTTTTTATCAGTGAACTTAAAATGCCAGAGCTGGCCTACTTGATCTGTAGATATATATATATTTTTAAAAAACTGGGAGATTCATGGGAAGAAAGAAAAAGATTTTTAAAAAGTTGTACACAGACAATGGGAGGGATTATAAATACATACTGTAACAGATTATATACTTAATTTATGTTTTCAACAGTTTCAAAGAAATTGAACTTACAGTCTGCCACAAATATTGCGGCACAGATAAATAAATGTTACTTAAAACACAGTCATAGTTTAGCAGTCATTATCTAAAATGTCATTAATTCAGTTCTCTAAGCACTTACTGTTAAGAATGGATGTCTGGTGTTCTTGAGTACTCTGCTTTCCGTAAGAGTATGCGCCACTTCATCCTACAAAGAACAGACAAACTATAAAAACATGCTGTAAGTACTACAAATATGACACTTTCTCCACTTTTCAGAAATCAGAAGACACTGCTTAGACGTAAAGAAGAGTATCAATACACACTGGTACACTTCCTCTATTGCTTAGCTTCCCTGGCACCACTACACCCAAAAAACCAATTAACAGTGTAATTCTGAGGGGTAGAAGATATAAATTCATACAAACTCACTCATATTTGATCAAATTACATCAATAATGATAGAAAATAAACAATAAAATTATTCAAGAAGAAAAAAAATTAAATATGTTGGTTTTTTCTTTAAAATAAATGACTTACCAGCTAATAACTATAGCATAACTTAGATAATATTTCCATAGTTATAATACATTTTATTCAGGGAGATGTTAAGGTACAATTTAGTGAGAATCATAATACAAACTCTCCTACTAACAGTCAGTTATTTAAAAAGGAACCTCGGAGTACACATTTTAATTCTAAATTAAACATTTCAAACCCAAAAGTAAGAGAGTGCAAAAGAACATCTTTTTGTTTGTTACTTTTTAATATTTTTCTTTTTAAAACTACTTCAAGTGAGTTTTAAAACGCAAACACATTTCATAAAAAAAAATGTATTTCTCCTAGAAGAGATCTCCCAGGTGGACTGGGGGCGGTTGGGGATAGGAACTTGAAGGGCTGGGTTGGGGTAGTGGAATGGGAGAGTACCAAAAAAGATGACTGGAAACGGGTTGTATTTCGGGGTTAGGTAGAAACCTGATGCAAGGGAAACTCTCACAAATGTACAAGGATAACCCCAGATAAGACTCCTAGCAATAGTGGATACACAGCCTGAACTGTGATTAGATTGGTGACTACCCCAATTGTCATCAGAGAGGCTTCATCCAGGAACTGATGGAAACAGATGCAGACCCACAGACAAACATTAGGCTGAGGTCGGAGAATCCTGATGAAGAGAGGGAGGGAGGAAGTATTGTAAGAGACAGAGGAGTTGACATCACAAGAAAACCCACGGAAACAACTTACCCTGGCTGCTAGGAAGTCTAACAGAGTCTGAATCAACAACCGGGGAGCCTGATTGGACCGACGTAGGCCCTCTACATGTATGTGACAGTTGTGTAGCTTGGTCCTCTTGTGGGACTCCTAACAATGGGAGCAGGGACTGTCCCTAATGCTTTGGCTGGCTCTTGGGAACCTATTCCTCATATTAGGCTGCCTTGCCCAGCCTTAATACAAGGGGAGGTGCTTAGTCTTATGGCAACTTGATATGCCATGCTTGTTGATACCCATGGCAGGCCTGCCCCTTTCTGAGAGGAAACAGAAGGAGTGGATGAGGGGAGCAACGACTGCAGCTGGGATGTAAAATAAATAAATTAATTAAAAATTTAAAACGACATAAAAACAAACAAACAAGAAAATATTTCCCCAATTGTGTTCTTTATTTGTAAAAATAAAACTCTCATCTTGATTTGTAAAAGGCAAACTAGAAGGGATTTTCTTTTAACATATGGAAAGCTGAAAACATGTTTCATATTTCAAAACTCTATTATCTTAAAGAAAGAAAGAGGGTAGCTGGCATCTCTACAGTTTGCTTCTAGGAAATTCTTAAATAAATATCTTGCTGGATCAACAATACTGTTGACAAATAAAAATTAGATTATAAAGAAAAGAATCAAGAGTAGAACAGCAGGACACTGAACTATACTTATTATCTGACAAAAGCATTTTACCTTAAGTTTATGCCTAGAAGAAAAATCAGGAACAGATTTATAAAAGAAGCTAAAGCCAAGCGGTGGCACACACCTTTAATCCCAGCACTCAGGAGGCAGAGCCAGGCGGATCTCTGTGAGTTTGAGGCCAGCCTGCTCTACTTAGTGAGATCCAGGACAGGCACCAAAACTACACTGAGGAACCTTGTCTCAAAAAATAAAAAACAACAACAACAACAACAAAAAGAAGCTAATACTCTAAGGTCATTTGGGCAAAGGAATACCAACTGTGTATGAACAAAAAGTAAAGTGAATTAACAATGTAGTATTTAAAGCAAGTTAAGCCAAGATAAATAAAGCACTTCAGTCTTATTTTATAGGAGCCAGGTTTAAGTGCTCAAACAATTTGAAAGTCACTGCCACACTGTATTATTATGCCTAAATCAATTATAGTAACCTTTTAATGGAAAATAAATCAGAAGCAGAAATGACACAAGAACTTACTGATTTTTATGCCCAGTAGTAACTATTCTAATGGCTACCATACAGCAAGGACTTACTATTTGAACTGAATGTCATAAACCCAAAGGCTTCTTCATTCAACCATTACATCAACAACTATGCAGAATTACCTAGGTATAACTTACACACTGGAGACAGGGCCTTCAACAAAACAGAGAAGTCCCTGTTCTCATAGAAATTTCATTCTAAATAGTCAGACAGTGATCAGTATTAGTGGATAAAGCCAAGTGGGTATTGGATAATAAGCATCATCCAAAAATATGACTGCATGAAATACATAACTAAGCAAGTGATACATAGATCTAAACCAATTCATTTAAAAATTCCTCACACTGCACTTATTAAATGTTAATGACAATACAGATATAAAGTTGTTTTATAATAAAAAGGTAAGACTGCTTTATTCACAGATTTCACAAGCTAGTGAAGGTAAGTCACTCACCAATTTAAAAGCAATAGACTATTAACAAGAGGATTTACACAATATTATAAGTGAGACAGAGAAGGAAAAACCAATGGCATATAAGCTCAGTAATGTAATCCAATGGGAACTGAAGGGTATAGTGGCTAGCACCATGTGATTTATACTTTTTAAAGTTTACCGATGCCATATTGGTGAGTACAGTAAAAAGAAAGGAGCAATTGGAGACCAATAAAGTACTCCAAGATAGAAACAGATAATTTAGGCTAATGAGGCAGTCTGAAGTATTTTTAGATTTAAAATCAAAAGAAATAGTCTAAAAGTTACATGCCTCCACCAAAAAGGTAAATCAAAAGAAATGTGTTTTTATATGCAGTGAGAAAGATACAGAAAGGGTTAACATTTACTGCTATAGAGTAGTATGCTAAGTAATCTGAGTCAGTAAACTAGAGAAAGACTAAAAACAGTGAATAGCAAACCAATTTAATATCAGAAAAGATAATCTGGTGCTTTAGAAAACATTTTTTGGGGTATTTCATACTATTTTAGTAAAACAGCCATGTTACATGCAATATTTTCCTAGATCAGTTAGTAAATTTCATGGGAGAAGACTTTTCCTCCTCTAAATTCTTCAATCTACTTAACCACATGTGCAGAGGCAAGCAAAGATATGCAGAGATAAAAGTTAATAAAA